AGAACTCAGCTGCCTCATGACAGACAGTTTCTACCTGGTCTTTGGTAGGGTCATCTCCATCCCCCTCTTCTCCTGGGTGCTCCTGGACACTCTGGACACCATCCACATGCTCTGCCTCCTCTGCCTGGCGCCATCCTCTTCCAGCCCAGCCCCTTGGTGCAGGCACCCTCTTGTGCTAACACCTCCCTCTGCTCTCGATCTCCTGTTTCCACCACGCTGCTCCCTTCCCTCCTCAATCTATCTCTCATAACCACCATCCCTCTCTGTCTTCCTCTGTGAGTAAACTCAGTTCCCTTTTCATCTCACTGGTGCACAGGCACACACAGCAGACCTTGTCTCTCCTGTGCTGGGAGGAAGTCTACAGCAAGCTCTTTTATTTGGAGACCAACCACAGAGACATTTCTGTGGTTCTCAGCCAGAATGTGGCCAGCAGAGATGGGATTTTTAGACGTCTGAATTCAACAAGTCTCTACCAAGCATGTACAAACTGCAAAGACATTTTCTCTTACACGTGGTCCAGACTGGGGAATAATTTCCCAAATGTGTTGAAAAGCAAATTTCTCTTGTTTGGTTGACTCCTTCTGCCAAAATTTTGCTCTTTGCTTCCGTGAATGGAGGTAAAACATCTCCTCAAAGACATGCTTGAAAGACGTAGGCTTAACATAGACAAAATAACATACTTTCTCCTAAGCTTGCTCTTGGATACAGATGCACTATTCTAGATAAACCTTTCAAAACAAAAATAAAACAAAACAAAAGAAATCAGCTGGAGGCTGATACCCAGCATAGGAAATTTCAGTTTGATGCATTATACTTTGGCAAATGTATAAGAAACTGACAACAAGATATAATAACGAAAAAGTGTTGGGCAATCTCTGCAGCTATAATTCATAACTCCTACACATTTTAAGATAATGGAAATTACTCATGCTCATCAGGAGTTAAATAGATGCCTCTGTTATTACTTGGATTATTCAGTTAGCAATGGCAGCCAGATGTATGTCTAACTGACTTTCATTAACTTCAGCAATATACCTGGCAGAATTAAAATCTACTCCAATTCAACCCTTCTATATTTTTCTCCTGATGTACCACATACAAACCTTAACCATGATATGATCTTCTGGGATAATAAACTAAATCAACAATGCATTTCATTTGCAGGGATTGTCATGTAGGAGATGCTTCCAAGTATGCAAATTTCTCAAGGAAATATTGAGCCATGGCTCTAAATGGAAGAGAGATAAAGAATTATCTCTTCAATTTTAAAGGTACTTTTTGTGCTAATAAAATAGAAAGCATAATAGCCTTGGCTAGAATGGCAGAATGGCGAATTTTAACCTTTTCAGGAGGCCAGCACAGACTGACACTGAAGTCTTTACAGCAGTGAACATGCAGACCCAAGGTTAGGAAATTAACATTTTGTGTCAGAGACTCCTACTTTGCGGAGACCCTCACTGTCAGCATTGTACCAGTTGCTTTGCTCTTGTTGTTTGGTAGGCATCCCTCCTCCATAGCAGCCAGCACTTGAGGCACGTGTTTTCTGTTTTTAAACAGAAAATTCAGAAAATTCACAGCATCTGTCTGTGAACATCAGGGACTTAGACATATTCCAGGAGTGCAGCCAAATCTAAGTATTAAAACCTGACCAGGTCACCTTTGAATCAGGATGAATGGCTAGTTCGGGTGTCACCCTCTACAGGGGTGTCAGAACATCCTGAATGTAAATCTTCCAGAAAACCTGTTAACATCCTCCCCATCACAAAGGAGATAATATCCTGCCTGCCCCACCTGAAGCCTTTGCCTTCCCAGTGCTGGTCTTCCTGCAGCAAAACCCCAATGCCTGTGTTCATCTGTGCATCTCTTTGTACCCACTACCACTAGTCCCAAAACAATAAACACAAACCAAGGCTGCTCTTGGCTTGCTTCTACTCTGCTCATCATCTCCTACAAGATTGTTGCTTGTGCTCTGATGAGAATGCCAGCATTTTTCTACCTTTTGTTTTATTTTCTTATTGGAGGGAAGGAACTCCTGGCCTTCACCATTCTCTTCCGTTCTTAACACTCTTGTTTTGCACAAAAAATGAAACAAAAAAGTTAGGCTTGTTGAAAGTTTTTGGTTGCTGCATGGCTCAGTTGCAGGCCATGTTCATACCTTCTACAGTGTTTGTACAAAACGCAGCACGCAGTCCTTGCACACAGCCCCTGCCCACCCACAGCAGACACAACAAGTGCTGGATACTCAGCAGTGGCCTTAGTTCCTACCATGCTATCGGGGAGGGCCCGGTTCCATGCATACACATTTTGTATTTTGTATCTCACCAAAATAAATAGAATAAGAAATAAATACCCAGCATCTGTCTGTGATTCAGAAGCTGCACAACAGAAAAGCCTTTGAATCAAAGAGAAACAAAGATGTCCCCAGGCAGTTTGAAGATGCTTAGAAGGGGTACCCTTGGAACAAGAGCCTGTTGGAGAAGGTTGCCTGTTTGTACATTTCAGCGTTAAGCGCTGATGCAGAAAAGAACATTCAATGGCATGTTACCAAAACTATTGCCACCTCTCCTGAGATTCAAAAGACTGCTCTTTAAATGGACCCACAAACAACAGTCCCACTCTACCACATCCCTGAATTCAGGTTATAATATGGAAATCAACATGACTGTACTTGCAAATATTTGGTGAGATATTTTCATAGAAGAGTTGGGAGGTTTTATTGTTGTAAAATTAGAAGCATAAAATTTGGTATTTTGGGGATGTATTAATCTCACACTGGCCTGTCCCACTGATGAATTTCAACAATTTTATTTCAGATTGCTGCGGGCATAGGATCAAACAGGTTCAGCATCACCCGCTCTGTTTTATATGTCTCATTTATTCCTTTTCACAGGTTTGGCTCCCACTTTGAATAAGTTACTTGGGAACATTTGTCACCTCTTCTGACCTTTGAACATGATGCCAAGACTGTCCCAGCCCAGAAACAAATCATTCATACCATACAGGCTGGCTCCAGCCAATATCACCTCACCCTCTCCTCACCACAGTGCGGGGTTTTCACCTCACTGGGCCAAGCTTTGTTTACTGGGCAAATCTTAACAAGAAACTGTTCTATGAGGAGCTCTCCTCCACAGGCAGCTCTCTCACCTTACCCCTAGTAGTGGGGCACGTCCTGGAGGACACAGTCATGTAGAAATGGAGGCTCGGGAAGCGCTTGGGAACTTGTTAACCACACTTCTTCCTATCCATGACTCGGCAGCCATAGCTTGAGGTCTTCCCAAGATTCTTCTAGACTGCTTTTTGCACAGCTCCCACCTCTTTCCAGCCACAACTCTTACCTAAAATGCCAGTAAGCCGAGGGTACATCCCACTAAAAGTGTCCTGCAAAGCATTTTCTGTGCTCCACAGCACTGCTGGGCTTAGAAACACTTGTGTTCGTGTGAAGTTGCTCTGTGCTCTGACCAGCCAGTGCACATGGGCCAGAGCCAGGAAGGCAGGCCACACACCCAGGAGATGAACTTCCCCCTAGAAGAGACCCTGAGCCAGATTTTCATGTTTCATGGATTATAGCTGGGTTATAGCTCAGGCTTTTCGGTGGTTTATAACCACATTGTTCATGCTAGGTCCTTCCATTAGATGACATTTCATTAAAATTACCGTTTGGTTAATCATAGAACATCCCAAGTTGGAAAAGACCCACAAGGATCACTGAGTCCAGCTCCCAGCTCCACAGAGGATCACCCCAAATTCCAACCCCGTGTCTGAGCGCTGCCCAAACGCTCCCTGAGCTCCGGCCTGGGGCCGTGCCCGCTGCCCCGTGCAGCCCGTTCCGTGCCCGCCGCCCTCCGCTGCAGCCCCTGTCCCTGAGCGCCACCCGCCCCTCCCCTGACGCAGCTCCATGCCGTTCCCTCAGCCCTGTCGCTGTCACACGGAGCAGAGCTCAGCGCTGCCCCTCCGCTCCCTGTGAGGAGCTGCAGCCGCCATCGGGCCTCCCCTCAGCTTTGGGCTGCACAAACACAGGGATCTCACTAGCTACCTTCTCACTGTAGTCCTTATTACATCATTCCTTTGGGTTAAAAACATTTTGTTTCAGCTTCATGCTGGGCGTCCCACTTGCCTCTATCTCTACAGACACAGGGTGACAAGAGGAGCAGGTGCCATGGCCCTTGAGCTATATTATCACAGCCATTTTCCGTGGGGCTGCAGACTATGGAGAGGCAACAACTGGTCTCAATGCAACTGTTTCTTATTCCTGTGAGCTACAGGGGGGTTATCCTTCCATTTTTTCCTTTCTCTTTCCCCGTTTCCCTTCCTTTCTTCCCATGTTCATTTCTATGTGTCCAAACTATCTGTCCAACTTCTGGCCTTCAGCCCTGCTCCTTCTAGTATCGGTACATGGACCCAACACAGTGCATGGCATCACAGGATATTCCCCTGCACTCGAGGCTGTGTGCGGGTCTTTGCAGGTGTTGCAGGCCTCCTCTCTGAGTCTTTCATTGGCACACCTATATGGACCCTCGCTGTCCATACAGAGCCCATTTGGCACTGCTGTCTTCGCCTGAGGAACACCTTCCTTTAGCTGACGTGGATTACATTTTGTCTTTGATGTAGTCTACTGAGTACGTAAATCCCTGATAATCACGGATTGTAACAAGGAAAAAAAAAAAAAAAAGAAAAAAAAAAAGGTGAGCTAGGTTTATTTATTAAAGACATGCCTGCAAGGTCTGAAAGCTAAAAAAAATCTCTTCTGTAGTAAATCACCTACCCCTTGGTGTTTGACAAGCGTTAGGATGCTGCCTTTTATGTTACTTGTTTCAAATGCTCTGGTTTCATGCTATTAAGGAATCTGCCAGCCCAGGGAGTGCTATTTCTGGTTCCTGCTTTGACATTGGGCAAGCTGCGGCTTCTCTGCATCTGCCAACCCTGCAGATAGGGTGCCTGTAGGACCCCGTGAGGTCCTGCAGGCTTGGACCAACCTGAGTTTTCCTCCCCTTGCTTCCCTGTACTTCAGCTTCTCTCATCAAGTCATGCTGCAACAGTTCCTCAGTTTGTTAGGTTGCAATCCAACCACCCGTCAAAGAAGAGAATACACAGAACTGGCCCTAAATATTTGCAACGGCTTTTGAAGGAGAAGGAATCTATTAAACAACCTGTTTGTGCATGACGCCTGCCAGGAGCAGACCATTGAAAATCTGCTGAGATTTCAGCGGTGAATGCAGCCTAAAAATCAATGACACGGCATGTCTGGGAGGTGGGTCTGGAAATAGCACGGCCAGTGCTGCTGAGAAGTATCACGTTCCTGGCAGTGGGAACACTCAGGGCATGGCCACCTGCCCCGTGGGGACACGAGTCCTGCTGCTCCCCAGCACACAGCCGTATCACACAGGCATGTGTGGGGTGCCTTTGTCTGGGAGAGGCTGGGAAGGCAACAGACTGTATGTGCTTAATTAACCACATTTGGTTTTGTTCTTCTGTTTTGATAGGAAAGCAACCACAGGGCCTGGAGGCAGATAGGATCTCAGCACCACTCAAAGGCCAATACAGGCAAGGCAATGGGCATGGAGAAACACCTGCACTGGGATCCCCGTGCTTACTGCTTCTTTGGGGTCCTCTGAATGGGATGGGCTTGTCTAAAAGAAGAGTGATCATTACAGTCATGGTGACCACCTCACTCAGGCTACAAACGCAAGCTCTGAATTGAATCATGGGTGGCAGTTCATAACCAAGAGGCAATATATTTCACCTTCCTGTGTCCAGTGACTGATGTAACATATGGACACGCTTGGCAGTGGAAACACGCTGGCATGGGCGCCTGAATCAGAAAGATGCTCCTAAGCTCTGCAATACTATTATTTTCCCCACATGATAAACACCATGGGTCAGTCACAGCAAGACCTCTTGGTTTTGCTTCTGAAGTGCGCATTTTTGGTGCTGTAGATTCCTGCAATATTTGTTTTCTTTCTGGCTCCATGTAATGAGGCACAAATCACAGCCACTCTCCCATTCCTAAAAGTTACCAGTCTCCAGAGAAAAGTCTGAAAAAAAGAGGCAGAAAACAAATCAGGCACCCCAACATGAGCTGCCATTTTGGCACCCGCTCTCCATGAGCCTCATCTTTTTCGTTTCCCAACACCTGATGCTGCATTCTAGGTAGCTGGGGAGGATGTGAGAGGCAGCACGGCACGATCCGGCGGCTGAGAACACGCAGCAGAGGGAAGAATTCCCTTGGAAAAAAAAAAAAAAACAACAAAAACAAAATTAAAAAACAACAACAACAACAAAACCAGCAGAGGGAGGCTTTCCAGGTCCCTACTTCTACCCGGGGCCAGCCCCCGCTCGCTGCTTATGTTTTCCACTGGGGAGGAGGACGAGAGAGAGGAAGATAGAGAGGGGCGGAGGTTTTTTTGGGGGGGAGGAAAGGGGGGGAAGGAGGTGGAAAGTTGCTTGAATTTGCGAGGGGCGAGAGCCGGCGGCGGAGACGCGCCGCCTCCTTCCACTGGCTGGGGGAGCTGCCAATCTGTGTTGTAATCCTGCAGGAATTTCTGCGGGGTTTAACTGGGAGCCGCGCCGCCGCTACCGCGCACTCGGGGCGGAGGGCGGGAGGGAAGGAAGGAGAGAAGCGGGCGGCCGAGAAGGAGGCGGCGGTAGCAGCTTCAGCAGCAGCAGCAGCAGCAGCAGCCGTCAGGCAGTCCCAGCGCCGCGCAGCGTTGTGCCGCCGGGCAGCGCGGAGCGGAGCGCCGACAGCAGCGGAGCGGAACGGGCCGGAGGGCGCCCGCGGCCCTGCCCCGCGCCCCCGGGCGCTGCCGAGCGCCGCGGCCCCGCTTTCTTCTTTGTGCCCGGCCACAGGCGGCCGCCGCGCCGGCTCCGCGGGAAGAATGCGGTGCGTGTGGCTCGCGCTCACTCTCAGCTTCGTGGCCTGCGCCTCCGGGCAGCCGGTGAGTGAGCGAGAGAGCGGCGGGGCGGGGGAACGGGACGGAACGGGTCGGGGGGCGGCCACCTGGGCTCCGTCCGCAGCGCTGCCCCCGAGGATACTCCCCGGCAGGCGCAGCGGGAGCGCCTCTCCAGCCCCAAGTTCACCTCGACGCCCCGGCCCTGCCCGAGGAGGTGCGGGTTCGGGTCCCCCCGGCGGCAGGATAGATCTGCTCCCGTGGAGCGACGGGCTGCTGCGGAGGGCGCCAAATGAGTAACTGGCCGTGGCTAGGCGGCTCGGGACGCCCCCGAGACCCCCGGTTCCCCGCGGGGTGCGCGCCCATCCCGGCTGCCATCCCCGCCCGGGCTGACTGCGGGCTGCTGGGGATAATGCCTCTGTTTACGCTTCTCCCAGCCACAAGTGTCTCCGCTGAGCGGGGACCTCTGCTTAATGCAATTAACTCCGTTGCCGGGATTTGTACCTCCCGAAAAGCCGCTCCTCTGCAGCGCTCCCGCCCCGCGGTGCGGACGGCTCGGGAAGGGCTCGGGCTTCGCTGGCGGCGCTTCGGGACGACGCTTCTCGGAGAGCGAGAAAAGAACGCGTTGCTGCGTTTGGGCAAATATTAGGAAATAATAAATGGAGGTTTCAGTATGAAATTAAAATACCGTGACAACTTAATCCAATTAAAATGAGCTGCTCCACTGAACTAAATAATGTCACCGACTCGGGTTCGCTTTTGAAGTTGCCTGGCTATTGTATAAATAAGCCCCGTCGCAGCCCTCTGTGCGGTGCGCCTCATCGTTACTGATTCCGATGGATACAATTGCAAAACGCTTTTCTTAAGGGCTAATTAAGAACGAGTTGTGTCGAGCACAGACTCCCGTTCCCGCTAAGCACGTTCCCCCTTGCTGATGAGGTACGACATGCTTTAGTTTCACATAGGAATGCTACTGTTTTGAAGTTCTCTGATGGCGGAGTAACTGTGCAACTGCCACAGTCATTAGTTAAGTATGAAGTTGGATGGTTTTGCCTTGGGATGAGCAGGCTCCTGCGGCGGGAGCGGGGAGAGCCGTGCTGCCGGCCCTGAGCAGAGCCCTGAGTGCTGCCAGAAAGTTGTGGGCAGATGGGAGAGGTAAAGGGAGGTGGATTTTCTTTTCTCTCTCCCTCCTTTTTTCCTTTCTGGCGGCGGCTACGTGGTCCCTTAAGGAGGAGTTTTGTAAACTGGTCTCTGAGAAAAGACGGGTGCTAAATCTGTTGTCTGTGCAGAATGCAGTCCTGGTCCTAAGTGGGGTTTTATACAGATGCTTACAACAACCCTGCAAGCTTTTGGAGTACTGTCAAATGGTTTTAGCTCCTAAGTTCTTTTCCTTTGCTTGATTCTTGAACAAGTGTGTTCTGTGTTTGCTTTGTGTAACCATCAAACTCTGCTCTTTACTGGGGTGGTCCCTGTCAGTTTGAGTCATGTTAGAGCCATGTTAAAAATGTACTGGAAATGCTGTAGGGAGCTGCATACCTGTGTGCCTTGATGTTGGCTCCTGTACTGCAGATGTGCATTGGCGTACAGTGTCAGCTTGGTAGGATGAGCAGACATGAGGAGATGGCATCAGGATGCGGAGGGTGCCAGGCAGCTGTTCCTTTTGTGCCTGGCTGCGGGAGGTGGCAAGTGCCCACATCAGAGCTGGCAAATGGCGCTGGGCTCACAGGGCTGTTTGCTGTGCATGGGAATATGTTTGGTATCAGTGGGGTCTGGTAACGTCAGCAGACGTGGAGGCACTTTGGGACTCATCCAGGCTTGGGTGAATTGTGGAAAAAGTGTTCTTTCTTGTGCCCTTGTAGGAGGGGGAATAAGAGCGATGTAAAACTGCTGGAAAGAAAAGGCCAGCTCACTAAGTGTGAGTCAGGTGTGTCTTTTATGAGGTTGGGTTCAGTCTTGATGATAGCAGGAGTCAGCGCTTGCTGATTTTAATAGCAACAGAGAGCAGTGCCAAGTATCTCACTGTCCTTGTCAGTTCCCATTCTGCCGAGGCTGATAAACCTTTCTGCTTCTTCCTGCTCCTCACCAGTGGGAGTAATGGTTTTCCAGTGCTTGTGTGGTGCTCTGATCCTCTCTGCAAGCCGAGGTGGGTGTGGGGAAGCCTTGCTGGCGAGCGGGTTTCTGTGTGCAGCACTGTAATCCTGCTGCACTCACAAATAGGAGAACAGTCGTGGCTCTCCTCTTCTGTAGTGGTGTTTCTTGAGTTAGGGGACTTTGCTTCATGTCAGCTCTGCAGCACTGTGTGTGGGGGGTTTGGTAAAATACAGCGCTGCAGCACCAACATCAACTCTGTGGTCTGTCTGTTCCTTCTGTAAGCATCTCAGCACTGGCTTGTTGACATATACGCTGATATTGAAGAATTACTTGGGGTAATATTTTTGTGTATTTTTCAGAAATATTTAGTATTTTGGAAGCATGGTGCTATAATTATTTCTGCATTTGTTTTTAATCATTACTTTGCTTTTGGAATCTGGAAAATGGATACCATGCTGGAGAGGGTGAATATTTGTTTTGGTTTTGAAACATGCAGCTAGGTTTTGGAGATGGTAATTACAGGAGGAGAGAAAACTGCTGAAGAGATGGGTGGTGTTTCAGATTTACATGCTGTGACCATCTCTCCTAAGCGCGTTCAAATCTACATTGCCAAGTAAATTCCAAAGAAAGATAGGAAACTTTTCTTTGGTCTTGATTTATTTCCACTGTTCCTTAGCTCATATGGGCTGCTGCTCCCAGCAGAAGTGAAGAAGATATTCCTTGTTTCCTGTGGCTGGCAGCACCTGGAGCCAGCCTGCACTGCTGGCTGCTGCTCCCATTGCCCTGGCTCAGTTTTGGGGGCCTTGCAGCAGCCCCTCTGTGCTGGAAATTTGGGAGGGCTCCGGCTTCTGCCTCTGCCCTCAGGTTTTGCCATTCTGGTGCTGCAGTCAACTTGCTGCTGGAAGCCTCCCTTTATCTGGATGTTCTCAGGAGTACCTTTCTGGGAATAGGTTTCCCTCCCAGGTTAGCTTATCTTTTAAAAATTAAAGAACAGATGATTCTTGACCCGAGATCAAACACTGAGGTAGTTTCTCTTTTTAATATCTTAGCCCCGAGGTTTGCATTGGAATTGACTTAATATTTGGGCCTGAAGTGCAGAGATGTTTTCTCTGCATTTTTTTCTAGATCCATATCAGGGAAGAAGATGAGCGTCTTCAAGGACAAGTCAGGACAAATAGTTCCCAGTTTGAAGTTGAGTGCTGGGGTTGTGGTTCCTAGGCAGGTGATACCTCTGTGGTAGGTTTGTGGCAATTGCTGCAGCTAATGGGGTAGAGATGGTGGGCTGGAGATAACGAGCCACAAACCTGGGGTTTATATGAAGTTTTGATGGATCTGAGTCTATGTGGTCATAATCTGAAGTGCAATCTTAGGATGACCAGATGAAGGCCTGACTGCTGGCCAGCAGAGGTCCAAGCTGTGTAAAGCCCCACCTCAAATATGCTGTCATGATCTAATCCTTCCAGGGAGGATGGAGGAGAGCTGCCTGCTGTCCTTGCAGGGGACATGGCTGCATTTGGGCCAGGAGCCCCAGGCTTGGCAAAGAGCTCATCCATCACGCAGCAGACGAGCTCCCCGAGGAGCAGCCAGCCGCCTGCAGAGCCCTCTGTTTGCGCACTGCTCTTCGTGGCCAGTTGTCTTTATAAAATGTCAAGCCGAGGCATATGGATGGAATTTATTAATTGCATTATCTCACCAAATTGACTTTTGCCATTGACCAGTTTAAACATTTTCCTTATGGCAAAGAATTACAGGCTTTAGTGAGGCTTGGAGGCTGAACAAAGGACTCTTGTCTACTTACGGAAAAGTGCTCCTTTGTCATCTGAAGAGATCTGACTGACCAGGATTTTTAACAGAAATGTTGTGTTTGAGAATGGAAAGCTTATTCTAGGCCTCGTGTAAGACCCTGCTTGAATGTAGGGCATAAATATGCCCTCTGTGTTGCTGCATTTGAGAGAGGATGCACAAGTAATGAGCAAGCAATTTGGTCCTCGTTCAAGTTGCTGTACTTTGCACTGCAGCAAGCATGAGAAAATTTACTTTAGGCTGTTCTGTGAAAGGATTGTTGTTTGGTTATCTGCAGTTCATGATGACAGTGAACTGCTATCTGTAATCTCTTCAGGACTAGTAATTTATTCATAGGTTACATGGCACTACTCAGTGATTTGGGAACAAGATTTCTCTTGCTCACATTTGAAATATAATTTGCAATCTCCCGAATAAGAACTGCATTTGTGTTTGACCCTGTAGTAATGACAGTTCTCCGTATGTATGTTGTTTTCTTGATTAGCTCAGCTCTGAGGGATGCTCTCAAAAGCCTACTAGATATCTGGGCAGAGATACAAAATACGTGTAGCTCTACGTGCTGGAAAACTGACTGCAGAAGGAGAAGAAATAGTGTGTAACAGCCATTTGCAACAAGTACTCTTATGCTAAACAAATGATTTTTGACGATGTCTCAAGTAGGATGCTCATTTAAAGTGAAATAATGATTAATAGGGCGTTAAAGAGTCTGCAAGACTTGGCCCAGTCTGTAGATAGGCTGTGTATGTCGCAAAAGCTGTGCTCAGCTGAAGTCTGAGCTGGATGC